ATTATCTCACGGTTCATGGATTCGTGCTGACCGCTTGCTCAGAGCCTGGAGCCTGCTTCAGATTCTGTGTCTCCTTCTCTCTCTGCCCCTCCCCCACTCACGCTTTGTCTCACTCTGTTTCTCAAAAATAAAAATAAATGTAAAAAAAAAGAAAAAAAGATGTCTAATGTTATTAATCATTAAGGAAATGCAAATAAAATTTGCAAAGAGTTATCACTTCCTATCTGTCAGAACAGCTAAAGTAAAAAAGACAAGAAATAACAAGTGCTGATGAAAATATGTAGGAAAAGGCATCCTCATGTACTGTTGCTGGGAATGCAAATTGGTGCCGCCACTATGGAGAACATTATGGATGCTCCCCAGCAAATCAAAAAAAGAATTAGCATATGATTCAGTAATTCCACTACTGGATATTTACCCAAGGAAAATGAAAACATTAATTTAAAAAGATATATGTACCCTTATGTTTACTACAGCACTATTTATGAGAACCAAGACAGAGAAACAACCCAAGTATACATCCATCCATAAATGGATAAATAAGTAAAATGTGGTGTGTATGTATATGTATCCAGACATACAGACAGACATGGTGGAATATTACTCAGCCATAAAAAAGAATGAGATCTTGCCATTTGCAACAACATGGATGGACAAGGTATAATACTAAGTGAAATGAGTCAGACAGAGAAAGACAAATGCTGTATGATTTCACTCATATGTGAAATTTAAGACACAAAACAAATGAATAAACAAAGGAAAAAAGAGACAAACAAAAACTAACTCTTAAATGCAAACAACAAACTGATGTTTGCCAGAGGGGAGGTAGGTGGGGAATGGGTGAAATAGGTGAATGGGATTAAGAGTAGACTAATCTTGATGAGCACTGAGTAATGTATAGAATTGTTGCATCATATATTGTACACCTGAAATTAACACTGTAAGTTAATTATAACTCAATAAAAAAAGAAAAAGAAGAGTGACAAACTTAAACTGAAAAAATAAATTTGCACAAAGTAGACAGAGAAATAAATACTACTTTGTCTTCCTATAACTAAAAGTCATGATGTTCTTTCCTAAAAGACCATTTCGTGACTATGTTTCTATGTTTAATGAAACCAATAAGATCTGTGGCATGTAATTCTAAATGTCAGATTTTCATTACTAAGGCTTTTTCTGTCAATAAACCATTAATTTTCTGCTGGACAAAGAGAAAAAATTGGGAATAATTGTTCAATAGGTGGATTACTATTGTAATTCAGATATGCAAAAATTCCTCTTTTAAAGAGACAACCAAATATGTATTTGGAATATGATTTGTGAATAATTTGAAGATGACAAATGAAGTGTAAATGATTAAATGAACTCCTTTGAAATTTATGCAAAGTTCAAAATGATCACTGTGACAAATCCATGAAAATGAAATTTAGTACCTTGTGGAAAATATCTTTTCTAGATAAACTATAAGCAGGTCCTTAATATAATTTATTGGCTTCTATTCTCCCAAGTGTCTAAATCATACCTTTGTAATAATACAAGTAGTCTTAACTCATTTAATTAATTTAATTCTATTAAATGAGTCTGAACTCATTTAAAATAATTATGTTGTATGACTACAATATATCATAGTCATTGTAGAAGTTCAATGATTTATTACAAACCATGATATTTGGTAAATTATTTTATATTCTCATGCACAACACTCCACAGAAAGGTAAGGTAAATTCTCTTTTCACAATAACTTCCTGGGGTCTTAAAGACATCTCTTTAAGAGATATTTTCTTTTATTCATATTACATAGACTTAAATTAAAAAATATTATGCAACTATACGAGAGACAGCTTTACCTTCCCTTAACCGACAGGAAGAACTATTTTCCCCAGGAAGAAATTTTTTATTAATTTCCTCAAAATGCTAGTATTTCAGTCTTTTCATGATCATACTAACCACTTAGACCAACAAGGTGGGCCAAAAAAGAAGTCTCAAAGGAAATTAGAAAATGGTTTGAACTGAATTATAATAAAAATACAACATAAAAGTCACAGGATGTAGGTAACGCAGTAACTAAAAGGAAGTTTATAGAATTAAATGCTTAGATGAGAAAAAAAATTTTCCACTTGGTAAGTTTCTATCACAAAGTATTTTTTTCTAAGAGAAAAGAAAATGAAGTCAAAGCAAGGAAAATGAAGACAATATTAAAGGTAAGAGTAGAAATTAAGAACTTAAAAATAGCAAACAATAGAAAAAATAATTGAAACCCAAGGCTGGTTCTTTGAAAAGATCAATAAAATCGATAAACCTCTAGCAAAACTAAAATAAAATTTAAAAAAAGGAAAAAGAAAAAGAAACAAACTGGCATGGTAAGGATTAAAAAGAAGATGTCATTACAGACCCAAGAGAGATTAAAATAATTATAAAGGAATATTATGAACAATACTAAACACATAATTTCAACAATACAAACTTAGATAATTAATTGAAAACAACTACTGAAATGTAGTCAAAATGAAACAGGTAACATAAATTGTCCTATAACTACTGAAGAAATTGAATTACTAGTCAAAAACCTTCCAAAAAAGAAATCTTCAGGTCCAGAAAGTTTCCTTGCCAAATATTTAAGAAAAAATGACATCAATTCTTCATAATATTTTCTAGGAAATAGAAGAGGAAAGATTATCTCCTAACTCTTTTTACATGGCTAGTACTGTCATGATACCAAAACACACAAAGACAGTACAAAAAGAGAGAAAACTTCAGGTCAATATCCTTCCTGTACAGAGGTTAAAAAAAAAAATCTCACAAATAAATATCGCAAGTAGTATCCAGCTATATACAGGACTAGAATACAACATAATTAAGTGGTGCTTACTGTGGGACTGATTGATTAATCGGTACTAATACTGAAAATGCATAATCATATCAATTGATGCAGAAAAAACACCTGACAAAATTCAACATCCATTTAAAACTTTTAGCAAACTTGGAATATAAGGAAACTTCCTCCACCTTATAAAGCACATCTACACAACACCTAAAACTGACATGTTACTTAATGACGAGAGACTGAATGCTTTCATCCTAATACGAGGAAAAAGACAAGGATGTCTGTTCTCCTCATCTTTACTCAGTACTGTGCTGGATGTTCTAGCTGCTTTAGTAACACAAAAAAACAGAAACAAATTCCAGATTGGAAAGGAAGAAGTAATGCTGTCTTTCTTTGCAGATATAATCATTTAAGTAAAAAACACAATGGGATCCATAAAATGACTACTATTCCTACTAGGTAAGATTAGAAAAGTTCTAAGACACAAGATCAACATATAAACTCAATTTTATTTCTACATATTATCAATGAACAACTGGAAATTGAAATTTAAGAAAACAATATCATTTAACAACAGTATAAAAAATATGAATACTGAGAGATAAATCTGATAAAAGATGTCAGAGATCTGTACCTTCAACATAAGAAGACACAAAGTCAAAACAATTGTGTTTGTGTACACTAGTAATACACAATTTTCAACAATTTTTAAAAATGAATAACACCAAAAAGTAAGTAGGTATAAATCTGACAAAACATGCACAAGTTCTGAATGATAAAAAGTACAAACATGTGGATGAGAGAAATCAAAGACCTAAATAAAAGGAGAGACATACCACGTTCAAGGATTAAGAAAATCAACATAGTAATGATTTCAGTTTTCCGAAGTTGATCTGTAGATTTCATATAATACAATTAAAATACCAACAAGGTTTTTTTGTAAACATAAACAGGCTAATTCTAAATTTTATATGTGAAGTCAAAGGAACTATAATAAGTAAAACAAGTTTGAAAAATAACAAGCTAGAGGAATTCTAGAATCCTATTTTATGCCTTATTATAAAGCTATGATAACTAAGACAAAAAACTACTGGCAATGAGAGAGACCCCAAAATGAACTGAAGGTAAGAGAATCCAGAAATAGACCCACGCATACACAGCCGAATGATCTTCGATAAAGCTGCAGAAACATTTCAATGGACACAGGACAGTGTCTTCAACAAATGGTGCTGGAGCAATCGAGCATCTCTATGCAAAACAATAAATCTTGACCTAACCTTACACCGTAATAAGAAAATACACTCAAAATGAATCCTAGTTCTTAATGGGGAACTTAAAATTATAGAACTTTTAGACAAAACCAAAGGAGAAAATCTTTATAACCTAGAGTTAAGCAAAAGAGATCTTAGATACGACACCAATGGCATAACTGATTTTAAAAAATGAGAAATTAGATTTCATCAAAATTAAATATGTTTTTACAGGAAAAAAATATTGAGAATGAAAAGACAAGCTACAAACTCAGAGAAAATCTTTACACATCACACAAGCAATGAAAAACTCACATCCAAACTATACAAAGAACTTTTACAACTCAACACAAAGAACACAACCCAAATAAAAATAACTAAAAGATTTAAACAGACACCTCACGGGGCGCCTGGGTGGCGCAGTCGGTTAAGCGTCCGACTTCAGCCAGGTCACGATCTCACAGTCTGTGAGTTCGAGCCCCGCGTCAGGCTCTGGGCTGATGGCTCAGAGCCTGGAGCCTGTTTCCGATTCTGTGTCTCCCTCTCACTCTGCCCCTCCTCCGTTCATGCTCTGTCTCTCTCTGTCCCAAAAATAAATAAACGTTGAAAAAAAAATTAAAAAAAAAATAAAATAAAATAAACAGACACTTCACTAAACAATATATACAAATGGACAAATAAGCACATGAAAAATGTTCAACATCATTAGGAAAATGCCATTAGGGAATTCCAAAATGAAACCACAATGTGATACAACTACCTATCTACTTATGACAATATAAAAAATAGTGAGACTACCAGGTGTTAGTGAGGAGGGACAGCAAAGCAAATTCCCATACATCCTGTCTTGGAATACAAAAGAGTACAGCCATTTCCAAACTGGAAAACAATTTGACAGTTTCCAATAAAGTTAAATATATGCTTACCATACGATCCAGTAATCTTACTGAGTATTTACCCTAGAGAAATGAAAAAACTGAGGTTCACACACACAAAAAGAACAGAAATGCTTCTAGCAGCTCTACTCAGAATTGCCAAAACAACTGGAACAACTCACCTGCCATCACAGGTGAACAAACTGGTTTATTAATAATGATGGAATATTACTGAACCATAAAAAAGAACAAACAGTAGATATATGAAATAACTTAGACGGCTCTCACAGGCAACTGTACTGAGTAAAAGAAGCCAGTCTCTAGAGGTTATATATGATTCTAATTTTTTTTTTTTTAATTTTTTTTTTCTCAATGTATTTATTTATTTTTGGGACAGAGAGAGACAGAGCATGAGCGGGGAAGGGGCAGAGAGAGAGGGAGACACAGAATCGGAAACAGGCTCCAGGCTCCGAGCCATCAGCCCAGAGCCTGACGCGGGGCTCGAACTCACGGACCGCGAGATCATGACCTGGCTGAAGTCGGACGCCCAACCGACTGCGCCACCCAGGCGCCCCATGATTCTAATTTTTTATAACACTACATTATTATTTTATAACATCATCAAAGAGACAAGCTAAAGTAATAGAGAACAAATCAGTGTTTTTCAGAGATTAGAGGTAGGGCAAAGATATGATTATAAACATATAACCAACGCACAATTACAGAGGCAGAAGAGAGATTCTGAGGTTGATGGAACTATCCTGTATCCCCATCATGGTGGCTGTTATATGAACCTGTGTATTTAGATCATAGAGCTATATGCCAAGAATAAATCAATTTTATTGCATAATAATTACAAAAACTAAAACAAAACACTCAAAAAGACTATGATGAATAAAAAAACCAAGTTCGCTCAGCACTATCTTCTCCCAAAGTAGATGTTTAATTAACATCTGTTGAATAAAACACTGTAAGTTGGCTATAGTTTCTGTTTCAATGTTAGTCTCATTTATACCCCAAAGCTTCAAAAATTTAAATAACTTTTTCTAGTGTCATTAACACTAGGTAAATGCCACATAAAGATGCCTAGCTTGTGAAAAAAATCATTAAAAATATCAAATAAAAGTCAGAAATCTAGATTTCCCAATGAATTATTTTAAACTTAAAAAAATTTATCATTAACGGATAACTTTGCCTTTATATCTTGTATGCTTATCTTCCTTATTTAAAAAAGGGCAGGATCCATGATGAAGTCATTACTCAAAGGCATGGTATATGAAACACATATTTGATAAATGTTTACAGAACTAACTACTCTTTACTAAACACGGAATGAACTGAATAGCTAACCCATTAATTTATCTCAAATACTAAATCTTTCTAAGATTTATCCTTTTGTTTCACTTAGCAAAACAGTTGAAAATTTTTCTTCTTTCTGGCTCTAACCATGGTGTGTGCTCGCATCACTAACTGTCATTTCCACGCTGCTACAGCTAAGCGGACGATCTATCGGCATTTGTTTGCCTATAGCTCCTGTGCAACCAACCAAACCTCTTAGGGTCCTGCCATATTACCCCCTATCCTGAAGTGTCACAGATCTGACTAGAATTCATTCATTCTGATCCATTAGCCAGGCAGGCTGGCTAAAATACACGTATGTGAAGGAATAAAAGTAACTTCATAAAAACAAACGAACAAACAAAAACCCACTGATGTTGGTCTTGCTTTGCTCTAAACTGTATGAAGTAGAGTGTTCCTATGCTGAAAGGAATCGGTAATATAGATCAACTTTTCAGAAGTACCCAGCCTAAAAACTAAACACATTTTTTAAATTGCAAGGATGTTGTCTGCATATATTTACAGTACAGAGCAAGTATAATTATACTTCTTTTAAATTTCTATTTGTTAAATTATTATTTTAGAGCTCTCTACCTTATTTTTCAGGTATTATTTCTGAATATTAACATATTATCATCTCCAATGTATCTATGGGTTTAAGTCAAATTTTCAATTAAAAATATTGTATTTTACAGCTTCGATAAATTAAGCTGTGAAGTATATTATAATGGTGCTAAAATATATTCATTTTTTTACAATCTACAATATATGCCTTGATGCCACATTACACCATCACTTGCAAATAAATCAAACTGCAATCCTCTTGTCAGCATCCAGTCAAAAATGTAGTAATTACCTATAATTACACTATCCAACCAGACAATGAAAAATAATTAACCTGATTGAAGCACTCACAGTAATTTTATTGTATTCAATCTATGACTAGAATCACAAACAACAAGTTCGCTTGTTTAAAATAATGAATTATTATGCACAGTTGCAGCTTTCTATATTTAAGCTCTAAGGACATTGTTGATATTCAACATACTGATTAATAAGGATTGCTATTTATTATGAACAAGTAAATAACAAAGGCAATTTTTGAAAAAAGTTTACATAGAAAATACTGGTCCTCAAACTTTCAAATTTTCATGAGCACCTCATCCATTGGCTTCCATTGGTCTCCTCAGCACCTGCAATGTATTGTTCAGTGCCTTCACATAACGGCTTTTGAACAAATCATTATAGGGACAGAAGTTTAAACCATAGAGCAGCACACTTGCCTATAAAATTACAGTAAGGGTCAATTATTATCAAAACGAATTTCATAACTTAGCACAGTAAACTATATCTGGATCATGTGAGCACATAATTACATAAGGCTCCTTGAAAATATCCATTTAAGCTAAAAGTGATGAAAGTCAATGAATTTGGCACTAGATTGGATTTAATTAGAAAAACTGTTTTGTTTCAACTTAAACTGAAATAAAATTGCCGTAAACAATCCTAACATGAATAAATTTAAAATAATATGACAATCTCATCTCAATATCATGATTAATATTTGCGTAAAATATTAGAATTGGGAAAACCTCACAAAAGGACATTTTCTAAACATAGGTGAGCACAGAGACAGGCTTATATCTGTCAATCATAAGAGAGGTACATGATTATTAAGTTTACCTAGACAGAAATGTCCTTTCAATACTCATTAAAACCATGTTTTTATAATATAGGTATCCAAAGTTAGCTCCTTTCCCCAGAGCACAATATTAGTAATACAGAATTTTTAGTAAACTCTCAAAAAAATTACCTGCTTCTGTAGCCATCTTTCATGCCTTCGTTGTTTCCTTCTCAGATTTTTCAACTTGCCCCTTTCTCTTTTATTGAGCCTCTGATTAATGGCACCCAATGAGAAAGTGCCCGAGCGCAGGAAGTCCAGTGGAGAGAGGTGTTCTTCCTGGTCCGAGGCCTCTATCATGTTCCGACCAGCTGAGGGCAGGTCCATCAGGAAAGTCAGGTTGTTAGAACTAGCATGGTCAGTGTACACTGCGGAAGCTTCTAGACCACACTGAAATTCTCCTCCTCTTTGTGTCTGGGTCTCACGGGGAGTCACTGAAAATCTTTGCAGCAGCATATTAGGATCAAAATTGGATGAAATCTGAAAGGAACAGTTATTTTTACTAGATTCTAAAGGCAAGCCTGAAAGGTGAATAGGCTGTGTTTCATTTAGCCCGGGACAGGCAGCAGTCTTACTATGTATTTTATATAAAGTGGGTAATAATGTCAGTTTCTCACTGATGTTCAGATCCAAACTATGTGATTTCCTATGAAAAGCTCTTGTAGTGCATCTGCCCGTCACAAGCTGAGGAACAAAAAGCTGGTATTTTGGATCTGATGCTTTGAAGAGCAGTTTTTCATTCTTCATCTGAAAATATGTTGACCGTACCTCCAGGCAGAGTGCTTCTGTTAATCTTCCAGGGCCATTATTATTTTGGGCCATATTTAAAAGCCTGTGATTTCTGTTTTTGGAGGTGCCACCTGTCAGCAGAGTTTCCTTGTCACAACCTGACTGAACTCTAGGATGTGACAAGTATTTCAGCGATGGTCTCATTAGTCGGCCTGCCTGTGTTGGCTGATAATCGGTCCGGCTCTTAGAGAGATGTACAGCTGCAAGCTGGCCACAGGAACATTTTGGAGTGCTGACAAAATTAAAGCCCCCTAAACGGGCCCCACAGAAAGGGCAATTCAGTTTTCCAACTGTCCACTGGGCCTACAGGTAATAAAGGAAAATAAGACAATGCTTTCATTGTAAAGTAACCAAAGAGAATGTGAGTTGTTTTGTTTTGTGTTTTGTTTTTTTTTTTTTTTTTTTTTTTTAAGCCAACCACATGAAAGTTTTCTATGCCACAGAAAAGGCTAGCTTTCTGTTTTCTGATTAGTAGACAGACCAATAAATGGAAATAAGCCTTTTAATAAACAGAGATAAGCAACTCCAAAGTTCTAGAATGATAACATATTATACGTTATGCCCATCTCAACAATACTCCTAAGAATTCTAAAAGACTCTCTCAAACAATAGGTTGAATATGGATGCAGTGTGAATTAATGAAAAGAAAAATACACTATGGAACCAGGAAGCAAATCAGTCTACAGAGCTTAATTTGCAAGTAAAATCTCACAGAAAAGTGTCTGTTTTGATACACTTCTTGCATACCAAACACTGTGGGAGGGAACTTTACCCAACCAACAGAATAAAGCTCTTCCTGCCTTTTTACATACAACCAAAAGATATTGGTTGCGTACATCAGAGTACAGTTTCTATATTCAAATGGGAAATTAACAATAAACTAGCTAAAAATTAGTTTTTCAACAGAGGTAGTGGAACATCTGTAGCATCCTGATACATTTTGTAAAGTTCAGGACACTTAAAACCAGTGTATTGGCATGTTCCCAGGAAATCATTACAATGTGAAAATGAATGCAAGGGATACCTATCAGATGTTATTTTTTAACAACAACAAAGAAAGTCATTGGAGAATGGCAGCTATACTTTTCCAAAATCATATTACTTATAGTTTTCTAATACATAGGTGTTTTGAATTGCGAGAAATAATGATACTATAATGTCAACAAAATGAGTTCCTGCTCTTATAATATTTCATCAAGGAGACTTAAAAATGTGGTAATTTGATTTTGATTGTACCACTGACGGTCATTACTTATCTAGTTTATTTTATATGTGTGTACATACACGAATGATGCAGGATATTTCATTCAGTCATTGGGCACTATTCTAGGTGTATCTAAAAGATACACTAATAAACCACAGAGAAAAACTTCTGACTTCATGGAACTTATATTCTAATAGGGGAGCTAGGCAATTAACAGGGTCAGTAAGCCATATGTGTATGTGGGAAAGTGTGTGTGTGTGTGTGTGTGTGTGTGCGCGTGCACGCAGTAATGTTTACATTTATACATGTCATATACACGTATGCATATTTACCAGTACTATATATTACTTATTGTGTGTGTGTGTGCATATGTAAAATATAAATAGGTATATAAAACAGAAAAGGGAGAAAGGAAGTGTGAAGAGTGGTAATAGTGGGGAAGGGCAATTGATAGCTTGCACAGGCAATGCCTCATTGTGATTAAGACATATGGAAATGAAGGACGAGGGGATTAATTGTGGGAAGAGCAATCAAGGAAGGGGAAATACCAAGTTCGAAGTCTGAGGGTGAAAAGTACCTATAACACTCCAGTAATAATGAAGCCAGTAAATGCAATCAAGTGTTACACACCCTTTCTTATCTCTTGAAAACATGTATTCAATAAAAAATAGCTCTAGAATGAGGATAAAAAAACTTGAAAGGATTACATTCCTAATTGTACTCAGAAACTAAGGAACTTACTTTTTGTATTAGGCAGTTTATCCATTCTGGAAGAGCTTCTATATCCATGTGCCACACATGACAAATATTTTGATCATCAGCTGAATCATGTCTATCCTGTTGTATAAAAATGCATGATATTAGTCATTACCAGGTTCTGGATTTATTTAACGAATTTCATGTTTGAGTAAAACACAAAAATATACATCTAGTTTTAGCTAGGAAGAAAATATACACTGCTCTCCTCTCCTCACTCCCTCCTTAAACCCACAAAGACAAAAAAATTTTTTTTCAGGGAATAACCATTTGGGAATTAAAAAAAAAAAGCATCAAATTAAATTTAAAATTTAGCAATAAGTCACTCAATAGAAAAATCTGGCACCCTATTCTTTTTTCCTGGGTGTAAGAAAAAACAGCGCCATTCATGACAACTTTCCTGGGCCTTTCATCTCTTATTCCATCTGTACTCTACTAATGACAGAATAAAGGAGTTGCTATATAATCTATCAAGATGCTCAAGAAAAGTACAAGAGGATGAGGGAGAAGAAGAATTGTGTAGGCAGCTGGAAAAGCCCCAACTAAATTTCAGCTGTGTTAGAACAAAAAATATTTCAAAGAGAGATACTTTTGGCTTTCTGAAATAGATATGTAAAAATAACTGTGATATATAGGTGAAGCGATACACGTATCAAAAAAATGCAGGACAGAGCAGCATGGAGATGTATGACTGTTTATGACCTTAGTGAACCTTAGGCCAATTATTTTACCTCTCTGGGTTTCAGTTTCTTCACCTGTAAAATACTTCTAGATAGTTGCTAAGGTCCCTTCTGAGTATACAGAATGATATTCTATGATGACAAAAAAGAGTTGCTTGAGAATAACAGGGAAAAATAAGGCTTCTGCCCACGGACCATTTCCAAGGTGAGATTTTACATAGATATAGTGTTTCCAAGTTGCATAATTCTTTTTAAATTTCCCAAGCAGTTACACAACTAGATACTATAATTGTATTAACAAAATAAACAAGGAAATTACTAAACATCCTTTCTAAGTTTGTATTCATAGTGACACGAATGAAAGAAGACTGAATGTCTTTAAGAACCTTTCAATGAATAATTTACATTGTGACTTGGAACCAAGATCACCCTCAATTTCTAGGTTTAATCTCCCAAGCTGGTTCCTCTGGGCCCTATATCACTTTTCTCTTCCATTCATACGTATTAAGATACTAAATGGTGGCCCCATATACAAGAAAAGTTTCAGTATGATGTATTTATATATCAGAAAGATCTATAAAGAAGCCATCTTAATCTAATTTCTGTCAGGCTCTTAAAAAATCATGAAGTAAAAAGCGAAAGCTTGACTTCCTCTTTGCCAATTTTGATGCCTTTGATTTCCTTTTGTTGTCTGATTGCTGATGCCTACTGCCTTTAATGAAGTGGTGAGAGTGGCATCCCCTGTGTTATTCTCAGGGAAAAAGCTCTGTTTTTCCCTGTTGAGGATGATGTTAGCTGTGGGCTTTTCATAAATGGCTTTTATGATCTTTAAGTATGTTCCTTCTATCCCGACTTTCTCAAGGTTTTATTAAGAAAGATTGCTGGATTTTTTGTCAAAGAGCCTTTCTGCATTGATTGACGGATCATATGGTTTCTTCTCTCTTTTTTGTTAATGTGATGTATCCTTTATTGATTGATTCTTGAATATTCAGCCTACCAGGAATGGAATCCCACTTGTGGTGAATAATTTTTATAATGCGTTGAATTAGATTTGCTATTATCTTATTAGAAATTTTTGCATCCATATTCATCAGAGGATATTGGCCTGTAGTTCTCTTTTTACTGGGTCTCTGTCTGGTTTGAGAATCAAAGACCAGACTTCATAAGAATGACTCTCTGGAAGTTTTTCTTCTATTTCTTGGAATAACTTGAGAAAGGATATGAAAATTATTATCTCTGTAAATGTCTGGTAGAACTCCCTGGAAGCCATCTGGTCCTGGACTCTTATTTGTTGGGAGATTTTGATAACCGATTCAATTTCTTAGCTTTAGTTACTGGGTCTGTTCAAAACTTTCTATTTCCTCCTGATTGAGTTTTAAAGTGTGGGTGTTGAGAATTTGTCCATTTCTTCAGGTTGTCCAATTTGTTGGCATATAATTTTTCATAATATTCCCTGATAATTGTTTGTATCTCTGAGGATTAGTTTGTAATAATTCCATTTCATTCCTTAATTTTATCTATTTAGATTCTCTCCTTTCTTTTTGAGAAAACACAACTTTAGAGTTTGTCCATTTGTTTATTTTTCAAAAAACCCTCTTAGCCTTGCGTTGATCTGCTCTACAGTTTTTAGATTCTATATTGTTTATTTCTGATCTTTTTGTATTATTGGCTTCTCTTCTGCTGCTGCTGGGTTTTAGGCTGCCTTTGCTGTTCTACTTCTAGTTCCTTTAGGTGTGCTGTTAGATTTTGTATTTGGGATTTTTCTTGTTTCTTGGGAATGGCCTGGATTGCAATGTATTTTCCTCAGGACTGCCTTAGCTAGATCCCAAAGCGTTTGAATTGTTGTATTTTTTCATTTTCATTTTTAATTTCTTCTCTAATTTTACAGTTGACCACTCATTCGTTAGTAGGGTGTTCTTTAACCTCCATGCTTTTGGAGTTTTCCAGAATTTTACACTACCAATGTCCAGTTCAAGCTTCATAGCATTGTGGGTCTGGTATGCATAGTATGATTTCAATTCTTATGAGGGCTGTTTGTGACCCAGTATATGATCTATCTTGAGAATGTTCCATGTGCACTTTCCGAGAAGAAAGTATATTCTGTTGCTTTGGGATGCAGAGTTCTAAATATGTCTGTCCAAGTCCATCTGATCCAATATTCAGGGCCCTTGTTTCTTTATTGACCGTGTCTAGATGATCTATCCATTTCTGTAAGTGGGGTGTTAAAGTCCCCTGCAATTACCACATTCTTCTCAATAAGGTTGCTTATGTTTTATGACATTTTTTATATATTTGAGGGGCTCCAGTATTCGGCATAGACATTTATAATTGAAATCAGTTGCATTCTTATACATCAATGAAGCAACAGAAAGACAAATAAAAACGTCCCATTCACAATTTACCAAGAAGCATAAAATACCCTAGAACAAATCTAACCAAAGATGTAAAGGATCTGTATGCTGAAAACTATAAACTTATGAAGGTAACTGAAGAAGAAGAAAGATTTAAAAAAATGGAAGCATTCCCTGCTCATGTGGAAAAGAATAAATATTGTCGAAAATGTCAATGCTACCCAAAGCTATCTACATTCAATGCAATCCCAATCAAAAGTGCACCAAGCATTCTTCTCGAAAACTAGAACAACAATCCCAATTCATATGGAACCACAAAAGGAAGCCCCTAGAATAGCCAAAGTAATTTTGAAGAAGACCAAAGCAGAGGAGAGCATCAATCACAATCCCAGACTTTTGTATACCTCTACTACAAAAACTGTCATCATCAAGACAGCATGGTAACACAAAACAGACACATATAGACCAATGGAAGAGAATAGAAACCCCCCAGAACTAGACCCCACAACCCAGTATGGCCAACTCTTTGACCAAAGCGGGAAAGAACATCAATGGAAAAAAAGACGGTTCTTCTTTAACAAATGATTGCTGGGAGAACTGGACAGCAACATGCAGAGGTTGAAAACTAGACCACCTTATCACACCATTCACAAAAATAAACTCAAAATGAAGGATAAGGACCTGAATATTGAGACAGGAAACCATCAAAACCTTGAGAGAGAAAGCAGGGAAAAGACCTCTCTGACCTCAGCAATCTCTTACTCACGACACATCCCAAAGGCAAGGAATTAAAAGCAAAAGTGAATTACTGGGACCTTATGAAGATAAAAAGCTTCTGCACACAGCAAAGGAAACAACCAACAAACTAAAGGCAACCAAAGGAATGGGGAAAATGTTTATAAATGACATGTAATATGGGACAAAGGGGCTAGTATCAAATCTATAAAAGAGAAAGCTCACCAAACTCCACCTGAAAATAACCCAGTGAAGAAATGGGCAAGAAACATGAATGAACCTTCTCCTAAAGAAGACATCAATGGCCAACGGAGGCACATGAAAGATCAATTCCAGCGTGGCTCATATCGGAAATACAAATCAAACCACACAGATATCCACCTCCATCAGTCCAGAGTGGCCAAAATGAACAAATCAAGGAGACTATCACGTGCTGGGGGGGGATGTGTGGAGAAGCGAGACTCCTGGTGGTGAAGGAATGCAAATTGAAGGTGGCAGCAGCTCTGGAAGGAAAGCAGTGTGGAGGTTCCTCAGAAAAAGTGATGGAAGTAGACTATATGACCCACCAATAGCACTGCAGGAATTTATCAAGGATACAGGAGTACTGATGCATGGGGCACTTGTACACCCCCAATGTTTCCTTAGCAGCACTCTCAGCAATAGCCAAATTGTGGAAAGAGCACAAATGAAGGGTCTCAACTGATGAATGGATAAAAAGAAATTGTGGTTTATATACACAATGGAATACTAAAATTGGCAATAGAAAATATGGCCTTTTGGCAGCAACTTAGCGTGGATGGAACTGGAGGATGTGATGCTAAGTGAAATAAGTCATACAGAGAAAGACAGATACCATATGGTTTCACTCTTATGTGGATCCTGAGAGACTTGATGGGAACCCATGGGGGAGGGGAAGGAAAAAAAAAAGGTTAGAGTGGGAGAACTAAAAGCACATAAGAGACTGTTAAAACTGAGAACAAACTGTGAGGTTGATGGGGGAGGTGGGAGGGGAGGAAGAGGGTGCTGATGGGTATTGAGGAGAACTGCTAGGGACACTAATTGTTGTATGGAAGGCTCAATTGTAATAAATTTCATATATTAAAAAAAAATTAAAAAATAAATAAACAAACAAACTTAAGAAAAAAAATCATGAAGTAAATTAAAAGAGGAAAGGACAGGAGATATGTTGTATGTTAGACCACATTTCACTATTTTGTACACCGTACACAATTGTATTTTATATATATTTATTTATTTATAATGGAGAAAAAATACTCTTGTTAAAAGGTTTCAAAATTTTCTAATTCTAATGTTT